ACTCATTGTACGAGGGAGTGGCGCGTTCACCGATGCAATGACTTGAGGCACGTTCAGTGTGGGGACCCCGTCTATAGAGAGGGGTACGGTGAATTATCCAATGCACACGGTTGGGACCTGGTGTTGGCTCTTGGAGATGTTCATGTCAGTGTTGCGTCTGGCGTTACTAGAAGATGTCATGGAAGTTGGATATGAGATGTTTTGTGAAAAAGGGCTTTTTGAAGCGGTTCCCACAGGCGGCGCCAATTGATGCAACGCAATCTAGCTGCTCCTAGTTGGAGGTGACTTGGCTCCTAGTAAACGACGGACATGGAGAATCTTCATAGAAAGAATCAGAGAAACCGAGGGTGCTTACCCGGTGAGGTCGCTCTGATGCTTAAGTCAATATGTGTGAGATGAAAGTGATTAGAAAGCAAGAGAGCTAGTAAGCAGTAATTGCGTGCGTACCTTGTGCCCCTGGAGGGAGGCCTTTATATAATGGAGTCCTCGCGGGCTTCGCGGAGTAGTTCCGAGATCATTGCCATGATAGAATTTGTTTCTGCGTTAACTGGAGATAACATTATCAGTTGATAAGGTTAATCACGTCCGCCCGAATCAGATGGGGAGATAATGCTTAGTTGTTATGAGGCGTGATCCTACAAACTTCAGGAACCATTAGAGTGACTTTTGGGGTTATATTGAGGGCAGATCGGTATACCCGAGCTGGTTTCTACCTCGAATTGATGTTCTCGAGCTAATGCCCGTACACCTCGAACTGAATTATGTACTGGTGTCGCGACCTGGTACCAAGGTGCCCTTAGCTTAGGATGATTTCAGTTGGAAGAACCCTTAGTTCGGGGTAGTGGAGTATCACTTTGTAGTGAGCTGGCTAAGCCAAGTTGTCACCTATGTCAAGTAATGTCCACGTGTCCCTTTATTATGAGGTTGGGCCAAATCACCCTCCATCAGAACTGATCAGTTTGGTTTCAGTTCGGTATTTTTGAAAAACAAGGACCGGTTTAGTTTTCAGTTAACCTACAAAAAAACCGGCGGTTAACCGAACCGACTAGTATATATATTTATATGTATATTATATATACATTTTTAATATATGTCACATATTTTCTTTATATTATATATAAATATATATTCATTATATATATATATATATATAAATATATATTATATTTATAAATATATTATATATTTTTATAATATATTATATATCATTTCTTGTTTATAATATAATATTATACATATATTTAGATAATATATATTATAAATATAAAAAACTAAAAAACCGAAGAACCGAATTGGTCAAAAACTAAAACCGACTGACCGATTAATTGGTGGTACCAGTTCAGTTTCAGTTTACAAAAGTTGCCCATGGTTTGATTAACCAAACCGTGGACACCCCTAACGCCGCCCAAGCTTCAGCTAAATTAATCAATGTATAACCAATGAAATAAGCCTTAAGATCGAGAATAGCTACTAAGTGATTCCTAGCACTACATGCAATGGAGCACCAACTGTCCTATCTATGGAAAGCATCAAAATTGACTTTAATCGTCTTAGGGTTAGGGGGAGACCATACAATTGTCTTCCATTCTTTAGAACAATCCTTGACTTCAGCAAGAGTATAATTCTTGATCTCAATCAAATAGTTCAAAGCTCTATCCATAATAATTTGAGGGTGAGAGGCCTTATTGCTAAACCATTTCTCATTTCTATTTTTCCAGATAAACCAAAGAATAATTGCAAATTTCTCTCTAAACAACTGATCATTATTTCCACCTTGATCTCTAGCAATTCTGGTCCACCATAAATTAAGTATATGTTTGATATTACTTCTGTTTATTAAATAAACGTTTGTACTTGATTTATCTTCAAAACCAAGAAAAAGTAGTTGATAAACGTTTTCCTGGTATTTGTTGACAGTTAGATGCCACTAGGCACCATTAGGCGCCACATAAGCGGAACAGGAAATAAACACCTTTGTATTGATGGAAACGTTAAAATGAATCTTCCCCCAATAGTTAAATTGCACGTAAACCAAGGCACACATTTATAAGATAAAAATAGGCGTACGAAGTAGCATGATGAGACAAATACCCACATGATGATGACATGGAACCATTTGTCAAATAAACAAAAGTCATACCAAACACTGCCTAAATAAGGTATCGCTCTCAATAGGCAATAGAAGCATGGCTTTAACAATCATCCATATTTGCTTAGAGAAGTTGCATTTAATGAACAGATGATCAATATTTTCATCCTCACCACAAAATCTACAATTAGGGTTAATAACTTAATATTGAGACCTCTCACAATAAACGTATCCTTTGTGAGTGGTTTGCCACTAAAAAGAAGGAAGAAAAAACCTTTAATATTTGGAGGGACTTTCAATTTTCAAATACTTTTCAGACTTCCATACAAATTTCCAAAGCCTCCATTAATTCGACACTCCTCATTATAGGTTGAAATAATAGAGAACTTCCTATCTGAAGACAACTTCCAAATTGTTTCATCCTTGATATTATTCAAGGGAATTATTATAGGTTTAATATGATGCCATACAAGATCAGGCACCAAAGATCGAATAAGGTCTTCCTTCCAAACATTTCTATCATGATCAATCACATTGCTAACCAACATTTCTAAATTTGAGATACTTTTAGGGTTTAACATCATCCAAAATAGGGGAATATCCTGCCTCACATGTCTTAACAGAATTTGACCAAATTTCCATTACCAATCTTCCAACCCACTCCTACTCTAATAAGTTCCTTTGATGCAAGAATACCTCTTCATGACCAAAAAGATACCCTTTTTTTGTCTCGACATCCCAAAATTTACATTTAGGTAAGTATTTGCAACTCACCACTTTCACCCCAAAGGTTTCCTTTGTTGATAATAATTTTCCATCCCAACTTGACAAACCCCATTGACTTTGAGTGTACAAACCTTCATCTAATTCACCGGATGAATGGGACAAGGCTTAAAATATCACATTGTATCAGGTCGTATCGTTCCGATAAGAAAGCGATACACAAAACGTGTAAAAATCATGTGTTCCATTTTTTTTCGTATGTATTGGCCAATATGGGCCCATATCGAGCTATTAGGGATCTGTACAGATCGATACAAGCCCGAAACAGGCCAATATAAACCGAATTGTTTGGATTCCCCTTATTCCATTAAATTCATTAATTTATATTTAATACTGAATCTCTCTCATTAATGTCCTTTATTACTCCTATATTTAAGTCTAACCTCTTCATTAATTAGTTAATTACTCCTATATTTAAGAAAAATTTAAATTTAAGTTTGAATTTTAGCGCCTAATTACAATTCTCTCATTAATTAATGATTCTCTCTCGTTAGAGACATTTTGTTAGTATAAAAAAATACAAATATTAACAATAGCAAAACTTGAAACCTAGTCACTAAATTTTAATGCCTATGATTTTGCCACCAAACCACTCCAATTAGTTTGTTGTAATTATATGCATTTTTAGTTTTAAGTCAATTTTCTCTTTTCTTATTGGTACTTATTAATAAATGCTGAAATCAATTATTAAAATCTATATACTAATAAAAATTAAGATAATTATATTGGTTATTTGAAAATTGATGTATATACATTCACATTTTAGTTCTTTTTTTGTTTTTTTTTTCACATTTCAGTTATTCCATCATTTTTCAACGGTTACTAATTATATCTCAATATGTCACATTTTATATAAACATTAAATTATGGTTTTTTACATTTAAATGACTTATTTACAATCATATAAAACTTGTAAGTATTGTTAATAATATATATTTTTGATGATTTATTTGAATTTCCTAACATATTTATGCATATCTTGATTTTTCATCTGTATTCATGCGTATCCAAAATATATCCCAATACGTCTATTAAAATTGTCTTTCCGATACACCTTTGAATATGAGCAAATAAAATCATAGTTTTTAAAATCGGACCGAAAAAACTGGGAACCAGTGATCGGTAATGTTTTTCCCCAAAACCGGATTTTTGCAAAAGACCATTGATTTGGTCAGCAAACTGCTGACCCGGGCGATTGAACCATTCAACAGTTTTAACCGTTTTTTATTTTTTTGTCAAAACCGAACGATCGAACCATTTGACCCGGTAACTGAACCCCTGACCGGTTCGGTACCCGGATCGGTTTTAAAAACCTTGAATAAAATCCGTTTGCGCTTTCATGACATTAGTGGGAGTGTGGGACGGATTCTGATTGTGTTTGTGCCCCATCTATAATCGTAGTCCATGTCAAGGTTGTTGTTGTCCTTTCACATCAGGATTGTAAATGGTAATTACTCGCAAGGACAAAAATAGGAGACATGCAAACTCAACGGCGAGAGAAGTATCAGTGAGCTCTCCATGGTCTGATGTAGTGATGTGGCCAAACAGTTGACCGCGTGGCAACATCTGATTGGTCAGGAGGGCGAAGCGAAAGACCCTCCGCCGACGCCGTTGGAACATGAGCTGCGCGTGGCTTGGTTTGGAAGGATGGACGACTGTTCGTCAAGTGGATTGGCACATCTTGTTAGCCACGTGGTTTCACACTTAACAACATTTTCGTTAAAATATCTGTAAATTTTGGATGATTTAAAAGATCTCATGGTGGGCCCACCATCCCAAAATTTTGAGGTGACTTGTTCACAAATCGTGGCCTTCATCGCATCTCAATGGTTTATGATCTTGCAGGAGGCGTACAATTAGCCACGTCAGACTCAGACCACGATTGGATTAGTGGATTACCGGCGGTTGAACAAATCTTTTCACCTCTTGGCGGAATGGCGTCAAAATCATAGGTCAGAGAAAATTTATGCTATTTCTCGAGCCACGCACAGAAGGGCACAGCCGGGGGAGTGTTGAGTTTTTTCGGGATTTTACATCAGCAGGTCAACGTACTCGTAATCGAGACATACCAAACAACAACTCAAGAGGCACGTGGCATATAGATGAAATCTGCTTTTATATAAGAAAAAGAAATTTATTTCTATACCTATTTTATATTTATATATATTATGGAAAGCATTTTGATTACATATCTCGAGTCATGACAGACAGTAGACGGACAGTCGACACGAGACGAGAGTGGTCTTGTCTTTCTCTTTCTATGATCCCTATTTCTACTTACTAAAGAAGAGGTAAAGATATGCTACAACCCACAAGGTCAGGGAGTTTTGTGTGTCAGGTCTCAACTTTCAAGCCCAACCCCCCAACCAGTCAACCACACTCGGACACTCTTATTACATGAGAAGACTAGTTAACCTGACGATTCGATAAAATTGGGTCCACTCTTAGTTGCAACCCACTTTGAAACTCAACGTATGGATACGCCATTGGTTGGTCATCGCCTTCGGTCCTCCATCTACAAGTAGCCAAAAATACACGACAAATATCATTCTGAGCTGAAGCTTCTCTATCTAAAGTCTAAACCACTGAAGATAACAACTTAATTACCTGTAAGTGAGTACGAGGTGATGGAGGAAAAATGCAGTTTCTACTTTAGCAAGCTCAGATCCTGGGCAGAACCTTGGCCCTCCGCCAAAGGGCATAAATTTCTTGCATGTTTGGCCAGCGTTCTATGAGAGAGAGAGATTGTAAAATCTTTGAATGAATGAAAATAATGTGGAAGGAGAAAAAGAAAAGTTGCAGTGTTGCAGAGAAGAGTTAATACCTCCCATCTCCAAGGATCGAATTGAAGGGCACTTCCGTGAAGAGATGGGTCTAAATGTACTGCACTGAAGATTGGTAGGACCTTCCAACCGGACGGAATTACATAATCTGATGAAACTCATGAAGGAAAAACCACCAAAATTTATTTTATTTATTTGGTTTCCTTTTAATAGATAATAAGTAATACACAGAACACACAGCAAATAAAGTATATAATACCCTCAGGCATTCATGATTGTACGCAAAGTGCAAAAACTATAAAGCATAGAGAGAGCATGTGTATCTAAATATAAATCGTCCAAAGGTGGAGAAAAAACCTTTAAATCTGACATCCTTGAGAGCCTTTCGGTGGACAAATTTGACAATGTTCCCGCATCTGAGAGCCTCATTAATAACCTGCAATAATTATAAAAGAAAAAGGAAACACAGAAATACGAAGTATACCCATCATTGGAAATAGACCAGTGAAAGTAGGAATGGAATTAGAAAAAGCAAGAAGGATTCATTTACATTCTGGGTAAATTCCATCTTCTTATAATCTTCCCAGTTCAAATACTCGTCTCCATGCTTCTTGATGCTTCTGATGTTTTGTTGCTCTAGCTGCATTGCATTCATATATTCAACACAAGTTTTTATTTATTTATTTTTGGTTTAATTTATTAGACGAGTCAAACTTGAATACTATGGTGTCCTTATCCGTGATGGAATATTTCTCAGTACAAGATGATAAGATGGAAAGGATGTTACCTTTAATTGTTCCAGTGCAGCTGGTGAATGAGCTAGAAACTGCACTGCCATGGCCATCAAAAGAGAAGTAGTTTCGTAGCCACCCAGCAGAGAATCCAGAACAAAGCTCACTTTCTCATCCTCTGATAAGTTATTCACCGATAAGAGTATCTCAAGGAAATCACCATTTTTGTTAGAGTTACCACCGTTTCTTCTTCTTTCTTCAACGATTGCTTTGATAGTGGAGGATATTCTAGTTCTAGCCTGTAAAGGGAGACCAAAAGTTGGTCACAACTTCCCTTTTGTCAAAAAAAGAAAGGCTGAAAAAGCGTACTGGTGGCAAAAATTAACACCCCAAAATTGCTATAATGCAAAGCAGCATTATGCCAAGATCTGGAACTGGAAATGAAGGCTGATCATGAAATAAAAATATAAGGAAAAAAGAAAAATAAATAAAAGACGGAGGAGGTTAATTGGGTTTAATTACCTGAACAGCTCTTGCATATGGCGTTCCAGGGATGTAGAGCGGAAAAGAGATGAGTCCTCTCATGAAAGCAAGGAAATCTCCCAGGATTTCTGCTGTTCGTGGCTCATCGGGTGTTAACCCAAGGACCTGCTTTACTATCACGTTAAATGTAAACTGCAGTGTACACAAAAATCACACAAGACACAACGTTAGGTCCGTGAATTCCTTGTCTCAATCGGTAATTAACAATCACGCATCGAAGTTAGCAGTTTTAATTAGTTATTTGTCGAGTTCACCAACTTCATATGAGATAGAAATGGTTCCAATTCTTTCTCGTTGGCTTCGTATTATATATTATATACATATATATATATATATATATTCTGGAATCTGGATTACCTTTCTAGCCTCTTCGCAGAAGCTGACTACTTGTTTGCCTTTCCATGAATCTAATATATGAATGGCTGTCCTCTCGATGTCGTTGAGATACTCGGGATTCGATTTTGTTGTGCTGACCAGTGTCAGAGCTACGTTCCTCAGCCTCTTGTGTGTGTCGCCCACCACCACAAGCAAGGAAGATTTCCCAAGTACTCCATGTATGGGCTTTGGGTAGCTACATTGGAACAGCTTGTCTTCATTTTGAAGAATGAAGTAGTTCAGCTCCTGATCACATGACACCACTGTAGGAGAGAAGAACAAATGGGATTTGAATACTTTCCCATACCTGCAAATCCATAACCTTCCTCCTATTAGATTCCCATGGTGCTTTCCTCCATCATCGATTTCTTCTTTTTGAAGAACAAAATTAAAATCCCATATATTAATTACCAGAAGAACATAAAAAAAAAAAGTAGAAGCTAGGAAGAAAACACTGATCAATATGATTTTGAAATTAAACCCATTCACCAAATTGAATTAGATGCTAGCTAGAAATATAATTCATCAGTTGCTGTTGTAGAAAACACTGAAAACTGGAGTATTTCATCACCTAGAACAGTGGTCCAGAAGAAAGGTTCCCAGAGCATTTGAAGCATGCGGCTTCAAGAAACTAAGGGTTTCACCAAATAAAGGCCACCCAAAAGTGCCCCTTGGAGCAACACCGAGCTTCAACAACAACGGAAGGAAATGGTTGAAGACGAGACCCAAAGCCGCTCCAAGCAGACCAACTAAAACGACAAAACAAACACCTTCAACCATGGCCGATGTCTACTCTCTCTCTCTCTCTCCCTGGTGATCGACTCACTGGTGTGTGATGTCTGTCGTCTCTCTCCCGTTGTTTCACTTCGAAAATTTAAAAAGACCACAGCCACAACGATCGCAATTCCCACCCTCAAATTCCTATATATAGACACTAGAGAGTCTTGCGCTTGTATATATTAACACACGATGGAAAGCAAACAGGCTTTTTGCAGATAATTACAGTCGGTGAAATACACTTTATCAGAAGACCTAGGAAATGAAATCAACCTAGCTACTCTAGAATCTAGACCCCTACCATGGTTGGAGAAGAAGGAAGTAGAGAGAGAGAGAGAGAGAGAGAGAGAGAGAGCGGGATTAAAATATGAAAAATAAATAAATAAAACCAAAGAAGAACCTAATTAAAATCTTGATGAGAACTGAAATCCTAGGTTGTGACTTAAAAAACCAAGCAAGCTCCCTCTTATTCAACCATTTGTCGACAGTAAATGCCCATACCTGTTGTTCTTATTACCAAGTTTGACCTCATCCAGAAATACACAGTCGTAGCATTTTGATATGATTCTATGGGGGATCTGACTTCTGAGAGTTCAGTTTCATTTCACTGAAAATTAATAAAAATTAAATGAAACAGTGACTATTTCATGCAGGAATGCGCACCCATACATACATTCAGAAATACAGATCAAAGGGTTCCTTTAAATGGAACCTAAAAGATAAGGCCATCTTCCAGCTAGCTAGCATGTAGCAAATATATATATACCATCTCATCATAAACAGTAAGCCAGATGTCACCATCCAATAGGTCCCACGTGGGGAATTTTGAAGCCAGTACGGTCCAGGATGTCAACCATTCAATTCAATATAGATGTCATCTATGGCTAGATAATCATGAATTTCATGACCAAGCTAAGGAAATGGACAAATCGGGTGGCTGATATTGCATGGTCATGATGCATGCTAAAATCTTAACATAGTTGGAGAAGATATGAATATGATATCCTAGGTGGAACACATACACATTGACTGTGTAGGGCCCCACTCTCAAGCATCTGCATGTGACCAAGCATCCTACATTCCATCGTGCATACAGACCCATTTACTTGTCTAGTTAAAGAAGACACACACACTATAGTTGAGAACTTAGAGTTCAAATCAGCCCCCACAATACTTCCGCCCACAAAGTTCCACAGTACATCTCGCCGTGTATTGAGAATATCTTTTGACAATAATATACGAAATGATGATGATATAATCATTGGAAGATATTCTCAATACACGACGGAGAACTTGACAATCACGCATGCTCATGGATATATGCATGGCCAATTGAGTTAATATTTTATTGACCATAAATCCCTCTTTAATTACAACCTCGATTCATTTACTTCATGATAGGGCGCCGGGACATTGTGGTTTACCAAATTGTCCTTGTGGAGATTTATTTCTTGGCATTAATTGCCACTATTGCTATTTAGTGGCAAAGTGAAAGGACATATTTGTCATTTCATTATTGTTCATTCTCTCCTCGCCCCCCATTAAAATCCCTTCACAGTTATTAACACAGCCCGTCCGTGAAAAATTAAATTAGGCCTTGTTTTCTTTTTTGTTTTTTGTAAAATTTTTTGGATCTGCATTGGGTTTTGTCGGTTAAGCTTTTACAAATATCAACTCCCATTCTCATAATCCTGTTGATTTGTTGGTATCTGATGAGGGTAACTTGGTCAACTGAGTAATTCATTTTCTATGTTTTCATAATATATTTTATGGAAATTAATTTTTAAAGAATATTGATTATTCAAGTAATTGATACTCTCCTAAAGAATGGATAAGACCGAAAACATAAACACATTAATAAACAGAAGAGGACTAAGATTTATTGGGATCCATTACCCCCAATAAAAAAAATATTAGATTTTATAAATAAATAAATAAAGTATTTATCCTTGAGAAATTATTAATTACTTATACACGAGGGATGTAGTTTATCCACACCCACACAGAATYGACCTTGTTCACGTGAGGGTCTCTCTTTTAACCTGCTTTTACTTTTCCTTTTTCTAGACTGTCTCTTCTGGTGTGTTATTCATTGATATCTATTTGTATATATGTTATTGAACATATATGGACGTGTCGTCATATATCCGAATATCGGAATATGACACTCTGGCATCTCGCCCTTCCCTTTCTAAACTTTTCTTAAGCTTCGGTATTAATTTTTCTTTTTCTTTTTTTTTTTGTGGATTTGGGCCGTGGTGGTGGTAACTGCCTAGTCCGTTGCTTAACTTATAAGAAATTAGTCATCCCATTAAATTAGATCAAAGGATGGAGGACATACCTTCTATTAATTTTACTTTAAGAAATGAATAAGAATAAGAGAAAACAAATCGAACCGGTGAAGTGAATAGGGATGAATCAGAAGGAAAAAGAAGAAGAAGAATGTAAAAACTTTGGAGTTTGGGAGGGGAAAAGGTTGGCAGATTTCAAGCGTTACGTGTGAGATTGTAAGATGGACGCGGAGAACGAGATGTTCGCGGTCCAGGTTTGGACCTAGCGGTTGATCGTAGGGCCAAGATTTGCAGCAGAGGAAGTACAGCCTACGCTTTTAATTTGTGTACTATTAAAACATAGAGAAGTGAGTCATGTCTTTTGCTTGGCTTCCCACAATATAGAACTTCTCTCTCTCTCTTTCCCTCTCTTTCTCTCTCCATTCTAATCATGCACTCTGCAAACTCGCCAAATATAGAAAACAGTACATGTGCTCCTAAATTAATTAATTTTATAGGCTTTACAAAATAATAAATAATCTCCTTTTTATTCTGTTAAAAAATGCTTTGGGGTCTTTTACTATATTGAGAGAGTCAAAATATGTTCAACAGTCACTTCATAAATCCTAAATAACAATAAGGGATAATAAGTAGACCTGCTGGCTGGCTGTGTATTTCTTCAATTTCTTACACGGATTCATATGCCTCTGTTTGGATTGCCGTGGAATTCAGCGAAACCCAGAATAATTAATCCACCTTCCTGCCGGGTGTGAGCGAATGCACACCAAAGAGCCTTTGCAGAGGCCGGCAAAGCGTCAACATAAACGAGGAGCATGGGTTAATTTGGTTCGGTTCTATGATAAAATTTTGAATTTACGTTGTAGACGTCGATTTTAAGATTTTTGGTGATTTTAGGGTCTATCCGTGAAATCTGTTTTTTCTTTACACTCCCTTAAAAAACATGAAACATGTTTTTTTTTAAAACTTAATTTTCAATAAATATAAGATATAGTTTAAAACTTATTATCTTTATTGGTTATATTGAGTAACTTAATATATAGATTATCATTATATGGTTCAAAATTTATAATTTAAATTTAAATTTTGTAAATATATATTACCTTTTAAATTAATTATTGTACACATTCAAATATTAAAATGAAAACAAATTATCAAATAATTCAACTCAATGGTCATGTGAGACCATTGCCTTTGTAACCATGAGTGCTTGGGATTTATTTCAAAACAAGTTTGGTTCTAAGGCAGGTTTCACCAAGGACAATTAAGGTCGGTTCATTGGATTGGTTTGGGTAAAATAAATGCCTAGACCCTGGAACTAACCTGATTGGGGATCGATTCCAAGAATTTGGAACCAAACCTTACCTTATAACAGATTGGATAGTATTGATTCAAGATCAGTTCCATTCGATTCTAGATAGAACCTACCCATTTGACCACCCCTAAACTTGACGACCAAAAGAAAAGCATAACATTTGTCATTACTTTGCCAAAAAGCTAACTATATTAAACTAAAGACACATGCATAGCATAGGATTTCAATTCTATTTTTGTTCTCATTTTGCGGAAACCAAATGACTACCTCACAATATCGGTTTTAAATCCGATTTCTTCAATTTCACCCAACAAAAATGCACTTTAATAAATAATGGAATTTCAATATTCCAATAGCAAGTTGCTTCAGCTTTGTTTAAAAAGAGTACAAATATAAATATGTATACTATAAATAGATACAAAATACAAGGTTTTGCATTCTATATATTTTGTATTTGTACTCCCTTTAAATTGAACTTTGAAGAAAAGGTCCAAATAAACAAATCCCAAGTTATCACTGTTTTCGCTACAATCATGAGCAGAACCTAAATTTTATACTGATAAAGCGCACTTCACACAAACTTCACAATACTTGCAACTATATTAGGAAATGTCTTGGGTACTTGTATGGTATCATTCATGGAACGAGATCTGCTCCTCAAACATGGGCACCTCACACGTACATCCACCGTGCATTGAAAACATCTCCCATGAATAATAACTTATAAGTGTGGAAAATGTTCCCAATGCATGTGTGAGGTCGGTGTGAGACGCCCTATGTGAGGAGCAAATCCGGTCTCATCACATATGGAGAGATATTTCAAATAAATGCATGGCTGCAACTTGGTGTGAAATTGGTGTGAGACAGCGATCTATAAGAAACAAATTTAAATTCCAATCAGCAGGAGATAGACATTACATTGCTATGGGAGTACCTTCACACACCTAAACACATGACAACATTGATGGAAGCTTTCTCAACCCTCCTTTTATGGGAAATTTTGGACATTTTTCATAGTCCACATCAGCTGGCAATAAAACATGTGCCAACCCTCTACCAACAAGATCTCATGCCACACATTTCATACATGTTAGATCCTACTTTTATGATGGGTCCCAATTTCATGGTAAGATGTGTGGTGTTAGATCAAATTGGGAGAGGATTGAAACGTGTTTTATTGGCAAAAGATCCCAATTCTAACGTATTTAAAAAACTTACTATATATATATATATAGGTCTGCTGGGAGGGCAGAGCCGGTACAATTCTAACCTTTGGCATTCTCTCAGACTTTTCTTAACGTTGATAATGTTGATGGGGAGTTTTGGGTTTGAAAAACTCAACACCACATCATCCCCCTCACTGATTTGAGAATCCTCCCAACATATTCCTTTCCTCCTCTTCTATAACTCTCTCAATGGGGAAAGGGGGTCGGGATGAAAGAAAACTGAAATTTTTCTATGTTTCACTTATATATATGAGGTTTTGTCAATCAAGGTTTTTAAAATTGGACCCGACAGGGAATTATCATCTGGGTCTGGTTCTTGGTCGAACAGCCTGATCATCTGGCTCAAATGGACGGTCTGATCTGACAAAAAAAATTAAAAAATATAAAAAACGATTAAAAAATATTCCTAGGTCAAATGGTTTGATGGTTTGACTGTTCGGATCAGAGGTTTGCTGACCAAATCAATGGTTTTTGGCCAAAAAATAGTTTTGAGGTAAA